TGTCATGTAGGTTTTAGAGGTTTACATTGTTCATTGATATCTAAGGATATGTGAAGCATCATTTGGCTTTCTTTTGCCAACTTTTTCATTCGTTTTGCTTCTTTGATTGCCTCTGCTGCTATTAACGCTTTGTTATCTGCCTCTGCGAGTCTTGTTGCTACTTCTTCTGCTGCTACTTTGAACAACTTGTTTTCAACGTCTGAGATCTTGTAGCGATTTCGTACCTGCATTTGCATTTAACCATTAGTATGATCATGCTAAAAATTGATTCTTGTTATGTAAAGAGTATACAAACTAGTTACCTTTTCGAGTTTTCCTTGAGAAACCAGGATTTTCAAGCTCTCACTCAGAACCTTCCTAAAGTTTTCTGGTACTTCGTAACGTTCCTGCAATTGATCAACCACAAAGAGTTAACTTCCAACTTGGATTAATAATCATATCTTCATGTTCTGAATTACGATATTGTGGATTGAAGGTAAATAAAAGAGGTATCCAAAGCTTAAACCGGGGTACTAAAGAGAAATTTGAGACAAAATAATGCAGCATCATTGGTGAACAAAGCATTTCATGCTTAGGATCAAATTATGCAAGGACGAATAAGAGAACTACACTAAGAATGTTTCCGAGGTCTCAATTTCGACAAGCGGTTGGTATGGTATTTCAATGGTAGTAGTATCCTCTACTCACTACATATATCACTTCAGACCAAGATAAACAATCTATCGACTCGCTAACATGTCCAAAACTTAGCTTCTGTATCCAAAGAAAGAGCTCATGGAATGTTGTTATCTTTCTAACCTGGATATCGCTGAGAATCTGATTAAGATCAGAGCCGTATTCATGATTCATTGATCCTATAGTTTCCAAAACAATTGCATCACACCTAAAGAGGTGGAAGAAGAAAAAGTTAAACCTCAGAGAACAATACAGAAATCCAAAATAACATTCCAATTCCAAGAAACCAAACGTAACAACAAACCTAGAAGAATCATCACTCGTATCTGATGAACTATTTGGAGAAGGTTCGTTCTTAACAACAACATGCGAAGTGTTTCCAGGGTAAATCGAAGCAGAATTGTGTTTCTGTGTCACTGATTTCTCCTTATTCTTCATATTACGCCATTTATCCTGCGCAAGAGAGGGAAAACAGAGTAAGCAACAAAAACAGAAATCGAACATTGAGCAAGACAAAAAATCGAAATCAATGGATTTTGGGGGAACTTTTCGATACCTTTAGGTCAACATTAGATCGATCTACAAATTGATTCCACAACAATGGATCTTCTAAGATATCCATCCATTTTCCGGTGCCGTACTTGTTTATTCCGGCGAGAAGCGCATCTTCTTCCTCCTTCGTCCATCGATTCTTCCGATATTTAACCATCTCTCAAAAAACACTTCTTCGTCTTCTCTCTCGAATCGAAATTCCTTCTTCGCTCCTTTACTCTTAAATCTACAGCGAACTAAAATCAGTCGTCTTCTTCGTCGTCGACGGAGAAGAAAGAAACCTAATTCAGTATTCCCGCTTTTCTAATTGTTTTTATTTTTTATAACAAACAAAAAAAATATGCAAATTTCGTTATTTATAGGATTCAGAAAGCCCTATTATAAGCTTATAATGGGCCTTAAGCAATCGGATTGGCCCATTTTAAGCTCTTAATGAGCCTAAGTCTAGGACTTTTTTTTAAAAAGGTCAAACTTTAATCTGGACCGTACGATTATAAAGTCAT